AAAAAAAGTCATACTATAGCATGGCGTTTTTGGCAACAAAGAATAACATAGGTGAAAATATCCTATGGCGTCAATAATGATATGTCAAAGTGTTTCTTTAACAAAAATAGCATCGTATAATTTGGTGAGAAAAACAAATCAGTCTGAAATACATGGGACGTCACAGTGTTTCTCAACTGTTGCTCTGAAAACTCAACAACGTGATGTCCTGGAATCCACATTAAAGAAAGTGTAAATGTGTACATGAACCGTCACAAACCAAACGCCTTCCAATGGTGTTCGTAGAGAAGCTGTAGGCTCGAGTGAAGCTCCGGTATCGTGACTGAGCTGTGAGCGAGCTGGATGTGACTGTCGCAAGCCGACTCAACAGCAGCCCCTCAGCCCCGGGGGGACCACTGGCCTCCCTTCAAAGGAGGAAGCTTAAAAACAATCTCCAAAAGAGTGAAAGCGGCGCTGGGTTGTGGTGGGCGTCAGTCAACCAGTCAGTCACTAGTCAGCCGGCGAGGCGAGGGCCCCGCTGTCTCCCACTCCAGAGAACAGGTACCTTGAACTAGTTTCTACAAAGCTGAGTTGGAGATTTAATGCAATATAAAGCCTCTGGGCCCTTTTAGCAATTTGGAGTCAACACACAAATACGCCCACGCTCAACTGTTAAGACTTTCCATCCCGGCCCCTTCATGTGCAAATGTGCTGAATGGAGGTGTGTAAGTATGTCCTGGTGTATGTGAGCGCCCAGCGTGTGCTCAGCCTCCCTCCTGAATCACTACTCCCTCCTTCCCTTTGCTGATCTGTAGCAGCACATCACTATCTAGTCAGTAAAAAACAGAAGCAGCAGCAGCCAGTACAGAAACACACAGAGTCGGTTGTTGTGTTTTTTTCTCTCTCTTCTTTTTATTAACTGTCCATTTAAACTGCTATCTTCCAGTGTGGTTCCACCCACGCTGTGTGGGGTGAAGCACGCAAGTAATTTAACACATGATGATCATTCAGTAAAGTGAGGAGCTGTTGACACCCCGCAGACTGTCAGAGGAAAAAGTTCTCCGTGACGCCGCCGCCGCCATATGCTCGCCACGTTAAACTTCTTCCTCCAGATGTGACGCCGCCCTTAACACGTCGGGCTGATTGGCAGGAAGAGACTCTAACATGCAGATGTTTCAGATTGTGGGGAGTCGACAGCAGCTATTGCTCAAATTGCTCAAAAGTCCGACTGGTGAAAGCAACCAGTTCCATCAAACGGGGAGGCTGGATGGGAGCCGAAGCCAGATAAATAAAAAGCAGCAGTCCCTGGGCTGCATGGCCTCGGGCTATTGCATTGCTAGCAGGCAAACAGCCACCCAGCTGCCCCGGCAGCGTAGGAATACACCAGGCAGCCGATTGGATACCTGACAGCTGATTTAGCTCCCCCTTAATGAGCTCTGCTGCAGAAACCCCACAATCTGTTACATAACAACATCATAGGCGGCGTGCACGGCGCCAGGCAGCCTGCACACAGCGCAGATGTTCCATCCAGGATACAGCGATCACCCAAGGACTACACGGCTAGCTACGAGGCTATAATACTGGAGCTGGTGTTGGAATTAATACCACGCAGCTCTACACAGCTTATATTTAACTCCTGGTGGTTTTTAAGGAAGTGATGTTGTCGATTAAGATTTACAGTGAAGCAGTGAAACGATGTCGTGGACTATTTACACAGAGGTCTTTGGTGTAAACACACTGTTGTGACTTCAGTCTCTTGAGAAGAACAAAGCCAACAATACTTTGGTTGGGTTTTTAGGGGACAAGCCAGAAAATAACCCAAACTGGTAATTATTGCTGTGAAGGTCATGTCATTGTTGGTTTTCTTCTTGTCATGAGACGGTAACAGAAATACATCAATAATAATGTGACTATTTACACAGAGGTGTTGTTGGATATTTGGTGTAAATATACTGTAGAGAGAACATAGTTTATAGTTGTCCTTCTGAAAAGAGCAAAACCAACAACACTTGGTCAAAACTTAGTCGGTCAAACATGAATTATTCGTCACTTAATCGGTTAATTCATCCACATTTGGTGGCCAAAAATCTAATTCATTGTCCATGCTTGGTTTGTAAAGGAGCAGTTATTGCTTTAAAGATCATGTGACTGTTGGTTTTGGGCTTTTCGTGACACTTTCTGACAACTAACCCACATCTTGTTGGACATTTGGCCTCATCGTGACTTCAGTTCATACTTTTAGTCTCTTGAGAAGAGCAACACCAACAATGCTTTGGGTTATTTTGGCTCGACCCCTAAAACAACCAACCAATCATCAGTCCCCAACCCAACCAGCAGTTATTGCTGTGAAGATCCCGTCATTGTTGGTTTTGGTCTTTTCATGAGACTTCTTGACAGTAACAGAAACACATCGTTATTTTTGACTATTTACACCCACATGTTGGATATTTGGTGTCAATACACTGTAGACAGAACATAGTTTATACTTGTCCTCATCAACGAGCAAAGCCAACAAAACCTGGTCACTCAAACATGAATCAATCGTTGGTGTGGATTCATCCATATTTGGAGAACCAGGGAGGCTGTTGTTGGCTTTGGTCTTTTCATGACTCAGAAACACATCAGCGGTAACATCAGCTTTTTGACTCTCTCGTTGGACGTTTGGTATAAATACACTGCAGTGACTTTCTTTAATACTTTGTCTCTTGAGAAGAGCAACACCAACAACACTTGGACAAAACTTGGTTGCAACTAGCTGGAATTTTAACAGAAGTTCAGTCGTTTTCCTGAACCTGTAGATTTAAGCTAATGTCACTCAAACATGAGTAGATGGTGAAGTTGTTGGGGACGACTTCATGTTTGATTTGTATCTCTTAAACCAGAAGTTACTGCTGTAAATACCATGCTGTTGTTGGTTTTGGTCTTTTCATGAGACTTGTTGACAGTAACAGAAACACATCAATCACAGTTCTTGACTATTTACACAGAGATCTTGTTGGATATTTGGTGTAAATACATTGTTGTGACTTTAGTTTATATTTGTCCTCCTGAAAAGAGCAAATCCAACCAGATGTTGCCAAACTTTTTTGGAAGAAGTCAAACATTTGCAGCTGTGGATCCTGTTTGAACAGTTAATTCCTGCTAATAGGCTCCAGTCGTTGTTGGTTTTGGTCTTTTCATGTTGACAGAAACATGAAAGCATCACATCATTATTATCTACAATCAATCAGGAAGCTGCTGTGATGAAGTGGAAGGACACAGTTCTTTCATTCAGTGATTGTTTCTTGACCCTGTGACGTTTCAGTTCTTTACACGGTGAGTTCTGTCCAGAGCGGAGCTGTAACAGTCACTGGGAACTGAATGTGCTGCTGAAGATCACATCCTGACCTTCTGCTTGGAAGTATATATGTTCTGACAACACAGATGTCAGAGGGGACCCCGAGGACCCGGACTGTCACCGCCGGCTAGCCGAGGGGGCGTCGGGTCCGAGTTATTCTAGTCCGGCCGGGTCACAGTTCGCTGTGTACACCGCGCTGCTTCAGCACCGGCTGACAGGCCACCGGAGTCTGGAAGTCCATGATGTACTGGCATTTGCTGGGCTCCTTCACCGATCGCAGGGCTGTCTCCGTTCCGCATGTCAGAGTGACCTAGAAAGGCAGAAAGAGGAGAAAAGTTGAGGGGAGAGCGGCCATTGTTAGTCCGGCGCTCGCTGAGGGAACGAAAAAAAAACCCAAACTGATGACAAAATTATGCATCAGGTGAGTCGGAGCAGGAAGCGATCGCCGCTGTCACGACTCTGATTGGTGACTGCGACCCCTCCCCCCCTCCCCCCCGCAAGAGGCGGGAAAAAAAAAAAAGTATTTTACTTCTAGGTGGTTTCCATGGCAACCCCCTCACATCACACTGCACCCCGAACAGACAATCCCTCCGGCGAACAAAAGCACCTGGAGAGGCAGCGAGAAGCGAACTTGACAGGTATTATTGTGCCCAAGTTTGAGGCTGGTGGAAGAAAAAAAAACAAAACAGGACAAAAAACAGAAACGGCTGATTCGGTTTTTGTCCTGTTAAAAAAAAAAGTCTTTTGTTGTGTCACTTAGGATCTGGTTGCATGGAGATATTAAGTGGGTGTGTGGCGCCGGATGAGACAAAGTGGTTCCTCGTGATTGTTGTCGGTTCGGTTTAGACTCGCAGGTGTCATCGGTTTGTTTAGACGCCTGGAGTTCAACCAGTTCTACAGATTAGATCAGTTCACAAACTAAATGAGTCCAACATGTGGAGGCAGCGAGGAGCTAATTACAGACAGTCAATGGACTTATGGGAAATCCACGTCTACGGTTGCAAGGGCTCGATCCATGACGACCTCCAACCTGGAGTCCTGTTTAGTTGATTCAGTTGCACTAATTGTTGTTTTTATTCGACTAAGTTTTCTTACTCGGTTAGAGTCCAAACGAGGCCTTCACACAGTCGTGAGGGAAAATTTCCATCCACTTGTAAAGACCGCGTACATCCTGGAAGCCTTGAGTTTAAAATGACTCCTCATGCATTTTTGGATGTTTCACCAAATATTGGCATCGTAGTCAGAATATTTCCAAAAGATCTAGAATAAACTACATGATTGTTTTTTTTTTCATGTGTCTCAATGATAACATCAGAGAACATTCAGAGTTTGAGGATTCATTGGAAACTCAAGATGAACGTGGTCTTTGCAAGTGGATGGAGACTCCTGTTCACGACTGTAGATGAAGGAACCAAAACCCAACATCTACTACATGTGTTTTTTTTCTGTTCCTTCTTTAAATCCGTCCTGAGCTTTATGTAGTTACGACACTAGCACTAGACTTTAGCGCTGAGGATCTAAGTGAAGCAAATTTAGTGTCCGCAGGTTCCTCCACGTATCAGAATATGTAGACGCTGATTAAAACATGAACTAAAATATGGCAGCTGTGCATTCATATTTGCAAGACAGTATAATCGAGGCACTCAGGGTTGGGCATCGAGAATTAGTTCCAACTTAGAGTCAACACCAAAATTAAACTTCAAAGGAGTCATTATGAAACTTTAACTTTTGATTCTGCTCACAAAAGGTACAAAAGATAAGTAAGTATGTTGAAAACGCCTGAGATCGTCAACGCCATTAGTCTTGTTAGTGCATCTTCCTGCCTCAATCTTCTGCACAGACTTGTGGATAAAAATCCCCTGAATTTAGCGAATGCTGCTACAAAGGACAATATTGGAGTCGTCTAACATCACAGTGGAGCAGCCGAAGTGACCAACAACAGAAACTACAGTTGTCCCTGAGAGATAATCAAGACTTTAGGGTCGGGCATCGAAAACTGGCCCCAAAACTCAGGTATTCATTCAGAACTTTGATTTTGTTTATTGGTTCCTCAACAAACGTTACCGAAACTGCGATCCGTCTGCACGTCAGTCATTAGAGGAACCACCTGTGGTTTCCCGTCCTCTAAAGGATCCGTCTTAATAAACTCAAATAATTTTTCGTTAATGTACTTGTTTTGCGTAAACATTTTAATTTAGCACATTTTGCTACAAAGACCAGATTGGACTCAGCTGACGTAAACCCCCCAAATATTTCAGAAAACGGTCTAAAGAGGACCAACTTCTGCTCATGTTGAAGTCCACACCAGTCGAGGGAAACTACAAATACAAAGAGCTTTACATGGACGGGAGCTCTGATTGGTCTGCTGGTATTTATCTGTAATAAAGATCGTCATCAGCAGAGACTCTTTACGTCTTGTTCCTCAAACACAGGTAGAGCACCTATACTGTACAAGGACGGGATCGGACAGTAAAGTAGCCGAAGCAAATGTAAAGTGTTTAGTAGAAATCTGTACATTTAGGTAAGTTTGTTCTATCAGGAGACGGAAAAACATCAAGTTAAATGTTTCAGACTGAGACTAGAGCGAGTAAAATTAGTTTAGGAACTAGTTCTCGATACCAAAACCCAACAGAACCTTCGACCACAATGGTTTATTATTATTATTTCTAGGAACATACCATGTGTTGGGTTAAAACCCGACCCTGTTTGAAGCTTCTCCTCCGTCTGGTTGGTGGAAAAGGTGAAATAATCGTAAAGCTCCGTCCTCAGATCTCAGCGTTTAATCTGGGATCTGAAACCAAGACTGGTGTCAGAATCGGAGAAGTTTTAAAGCGCCGGACTCGGGTTGTGTTTCGCTGCAGCTCGAGCCGAAGCCGCTCGAGTGTAGCAGCCACAGTCCCAGAATTTAATTATGAACTGAAACAGTTGAGTTCACTCTTCCCCACAGAGAAGCCAAGATAAACTGCACTCCGCCTGAATGTGGATTAGCACCGTATCCGGCAGTAAAACAATGCATCAGCGCTGCCTCCACTCCACTACAAAGCCAGGAGAGACTTCCACACAGGCCCGGCTTCGGCATTTCAAATATAATGAGCGTCGACTTCTGACGAGGCTTCATTTATGCCGTCTGCACAAACCCCCGGTTACGGGGTCGTATCAAAGGAATTCAATTTAGTCTTTTCAAAGGACGCACGGCGACGTACGTTTACGGGACTCTTACTTAGAGAGGGGGCCAGGCGGAGGAAACGAGATGATTAAACGAGCTGCGTCTTTAATTGAGGAAAGTCTCGCACAAAACGCAGCGACTGAAAGGAGAATAAGAACCGTTCAAACCCTCCAGGACTGACCAGGACGAGGCTGGAAGTCGGTTTCAACCCATTAGCTCTGGACTCTTCCCTCTTTGTCTAAATGGGTCGATTCAGGCAGAAACTCAGAAACATGTTTGATTTTAGACCAATTTATATGTTTTCAGGTCTGCTGATAAAAAACGTCTCAACCAGGAAGTCATTGCAATGGTTAAACATCTCCAGAAATCCACGTCCCACAGTCGTGAAATCTAGTGGAAGTGCTGGTTTCATCCATTTACGTTCTGAAATGATGTTCATTTGTGCTAATTTTCTGTTCAGAAGAACAAATGTTACACGCTGACCGACTGCAGATCTTCATCTTAAAAAACATCCACATCAGACCAAACTACTGTGAGAAAATTCCTAATTCAGTAATTTCAAGGCTTCCAGCGTAGTTCGTTTGTTAGAATCCTTCTACTGAGCTGTTTTATACGAATGGACTCCTAAAATGTCTGTACATCTAATTTTTAACTTCCATCCATCATCTCTACACCTTAATCCTCACCAGGGTCATGGGGGGCTGGAGTCTATCCCAGCTGACTCAGGGTGAAGGCAGGTTCACCTGGACAGGTAACCAGTCTATCACAGGGCTACACTTAGAGACAGACAATGACTACGGACAATTTAGAATCACCAATTAACCTCAACATGTTTCTGGGAGAAAGCTGGAGAACCCATAGAGAACCCACGCTGCACGGGGAGAACATGGAGACTCCACCCAGGAAGATCCCGGGTGTCCTCACCGGGACACGAACCGGCGACCTTCTGGCTGCGAGGCGACGGTGCTAACCACTGATCCACCTGCAGTCCCTGATTTTTGACTTGTGTATTAAAAACTTGTTGTAATTCTGCCTGGCGATCGTCGTACGTTGAATAAATAAATAACTGGGGATTGAATTCTAGCATTAGAGCATCAACTTGGAGTTTTTCAAAGAATTTTCTTTGGCATTAATAAAGTTTTGTCTTATTTTGTCTCGTTTTATTTGTAGATCGTGTCTGATGAGTTGAAATGCTCACAAGACTGTTTGAACATCGACCAGGAGCACGATGAAGAATTAACGAAGAACAACAGCGACTGTGTGCAGGACAACCCGAGGACAAGCTGCCAAATCTACTCCTTTTTTATAGAATCAGTAAAGAACTTTGCAAATGATTTACTTTGGCTGCTCTTGTTTTGTGTTTTTCTAAACAAAGCAAACCTAAAGTAGACATATGTGAGTAGATGAACACCAGCAGGACATCATAAATCTTAGATTTATAGAATCCACATTTCACCAAAGTTCATGGCCGTGGGAGTAAAACTTCTGGAGATATTGAACCCTAACAAGACTTCTCAGGTATTTTTTTTAGGATTTCCAGACCTGAAACACGTGAAATTCTCTAAACTCGTGAGAAATTATTCATTTTTTACCCAATTAACACTTGAAATCATTAACTTTAGCTGCTCTTCTTTTGTAATTTTTTTTGAAATTGAACCAAAACGCTGCTCTGGAGGAAACATGGAAGTCGATCAACACTCGCAGATTCTCACTTCACCAACTTTCAAGGCCCTGGGAGTTGGATTTCTGGAGCTACTGAACATTTAGACCTGGATCTGTCGGTGTATTCCTGCCTATGCATGTGTGCTGCTGCAGAACTTACCGTGGTGGTTCTGGAACCTCCTTGCCAGCAGGGTTCTCCGTTCTCAAACACCATCTGACTGTACTGGTTCTTTGGCGTTCCCGCCCACATCCCCCACGTCCTGAAACACACAGCGGACAAGGAAATGGATTAAATTCACACTTTGTTGGTCAACACGGTCTCTTAAGAAGAAGTTGGGACGAACTGAGCGCACAAACAGATTTCTTTGCGAAAATAAAACGCCGGGACGTCGTCCAGTTCGACACCACGTCGCCTCTCGGAAATATTAATTAAGCGTTGTAGTACTGAGCGCGACAACACACGAGGGAAAGGCGAGGAGACGGCGTCTGCCCAGTGCCGAGCTAATTACGTTCTCACCAAACGTTTCAAGGGGAGTTTCTGACCAAAGCGAACCGGGGAGCCGGTGGCCGGCGTCCAGCACAGCGCCGGCAGATGCCATTTCATTATGCCGTGGCTGGCCAACCTCCTCTGATCTTTTGTCGAGCTCGAGCGCCTTCTTTGAGGCGGCGGTGCTGCTGGCGAGTATTGATTTTTGTAAAACGTCGTAAATCCTGTCAGAGGAGGAAAATCCCGTCTGCACTCGGTGCTGGGCCGACTGAACGCCGTCCTGCAGCAAACGGACAGACGAAGGAACCTGCAGGGTGTTTATTCTGAGTATGAATCAATCCGCATGAGGAGCCATAAAAAGCTATAAATTCAGAGTGTTGCTCCTTTAATCTGCCTGAGTGCCTTCCTCGGCGGCCCTGATCAATGTGCCCACGCTGACCTTTCCGTCGGGGATTAAAGTCTGTTGTTTGCTCTTAACGTAATCTGCCACCTATTATGATGCTCTTAATTGATCTCACCGGCGAGTTCCACTCACTTAAATCTGCATAAAGCTCCGCGACAAAGCGCCTCTTTGATCGGCGGCGACACCAAACCAAACCGGCAGCTTGTGAATCGAGCATCGCCACAAACATAGAATTTCTTTAAACATTTTTTTTTGCCTCCGTTTGACCTTGACGAGGGCGAACATGGACGGTTTCAAAGAAGCACTCTCCAGCTTTTACAGACACTCGGCCGTCTTCAGGGCCCTCAGTGTGGGTTTTTCTCTCTTTTTTTTTTCCTCCTCTCTTGCCGTTCGTCTTATTTAAAATGCCTGAGCGGGTCAGTCAGAGGTGAATTGCTCACACGAGTGGAAGCCGGCTGGGCCTCCAGCGTCTCGCCTTTTCCCTGCGAGCCTGTTTGATTGGGTTTTAGCACTCTGTTAGCACCGGGAGGCCCTCAAATGGATTGCTGTCAGGGCCGGCGGACACGGCAAAGTGACGGCGCTCCGGCTCTTGACCGGCGATCCTCCTCATCCATCCCCCACCGGCACACCTTGTCCCCGCACCTCCGTCTCCATTCTCGCTCTGTCGGCCCCGCCGAGCCCCAGGAGGCGGCGCCGGTCCTGTCAATTAGGCCTGAGTTATCGCCCAGATGTTCAGGAGCCGCCACGTGGAATCCTATCGACAGACCGCTCGCCGTAATAATGGCTGCTCGCGCCCGGTATCGGCAGGTCGCTGTCTGCAGTCGCTCTGCGGTTATTTACACCTGAGAGAGGCAACACGACTTCATTTCACGGACAGACGTTGACCCTCCGACGGACGGCTCAACCCAAACCAATGACGACCTCGTTACGTCGTCCAATCTGTCAGTTTGGCTTCAAGCTGCAGCCGCGACACGAATCACCTTCAATTATCTGCTATTAAACCAACTTCCTGTTCAAAGCAAACACACAAGTTCCTGTTTTCAGACCAATAGCATGATGAGGTGTTCAGTAGTAGCTGCCTGAGATATATTTATGGAGATGTCGGATCCTTAAAATGGCGTCTAAGTAACATATTTCTTGAATTCTGGCCCAGATGTTCCTGGCATCTAAAGCTAAACTGCAACAAAACAAATATAAGAAAGGACTAATTTTGTCATTAACACTTAAGATGTTTACAAATACTTTCCTTTAGCTGCTCTTCTTTTATAATTTTCGCAAAACAAACCGACCAAACCCAAAACGAACCGACCAAAGAAGAGGAAATATGCAACAACATTAAAACTGTCGGCTGAAAATCAGCCTCAGATTTGTAGGAATCCACATCTCGTGGCTGTTACATTTCTGGAGACGCTGAACCCTGAACTTGAGTAAAATACAAAAAACTTGCAGGTCAGAAAACATCCGATCCCCCCAAAAATGTGTGTGAGCAACATGTTTCCTGAATCCTGTCTGGACTGACACGTTCTGACCCAAAACTTACTGGATAGAAAACTGAACCGCAGCAGCAAAACCGGGAAAGAATTACTTGTTTAGTTTAGTTTTTTTTTTACACAGTTAACATTTAAAATCAGAAAAACACTTGATAATGAATTCCTTCAGCAGCTTTTTATAATTTAGTTTTTAAAAAGCAACCAAACCAAACATGCAACAACATCCACATTTCACCAAAGTCCTCGACTGTGGGAGTCAAACCTGAGGAGATATGTGGAGAACCTTTGAGGGGAAAAATGCTAAACATGAGATTCTTTAAATTAGTCTGAAGCAACATACAGTCGTCGTTAGCAGCTAAAACGCTAACGTAGCGTCTTTGCTGTGAACGGTAGCAGCTAAGACGCTAACGTCTTCGCTGCTAACGTTAGCAGCTAGGACGCTAACGTAACGTCTTTGCTCCGAACATTAGCAGCTAAGACGCTAACGTAACGTCTTTGCTCCGAACATTAGCAGCTAAGACGCTAACGTTTTCGCTACCGTCTTCGCTGCTAACGTTAGAAGCTAAAACGCTAACGTAGCGTCTTTACTGCTAACGTTAGCAGCTAAGACGCTAACGTAACGTCTTTGCTGTGAACGGTAGCAGCTAAGACGCTAACGTCTTCGCTAACGTCTTCGCTGCTAACGTTAGCACCTAAGACGCTAACGTACTATCTTTACTGCTAAATGTCGAGAAACTGCATCTTGTTAACAACTACTTGCCTGAATATATGTCAGTTAGCCTGGCAAGCTTGTGGCGCTCCCCGTGGATGTCGGTGCCCTGAGCATTTGCCTACACTGCCTATGCCAAGGACCCGCTCTGGAAATCAGAATACCTGAACAGGTGCAGAAGTCTGACTGAGAGTAACAGGAAACACCTGGTGGCAGTGATTGGCTCAATATTAGTCTACTGGTCCCATCATGCTTGTTCATATATATATTTATATATCTGTTGAACCACAACTCAAAATCAATGTCATGATTTTCATTAAATTTTTCTTTATTATTACTTTTGTCAGTTTCAACTTATTTCAGTGACTGAAGCTGTTTTTTTCCTTCTTTAATGAACACATTTGAGGACGACTGTATGTCATGAATCCTGTCCCACAACTAACTTGCGTATAAAGTTAATCTGCAACAACAAAAAAATTAGAAATTTTGAATTTGTTTATACAGTGAACACTTGAAAACAAACTGTAAGATCTGAATGTGCATCCATCCATTATCTATGCAGCGGTGGGGGGCTGGAGTCTGTTCCAGCTGGACAAATTAGAATCACCAATTAACTTCTGCATGTTTCTGGACTGTGTGGGAGGAAGCTGGAGAACCCGGAGAGAACCCACGCTGCACGGGGAGAACATGGAGACTCCACCGGGACGTGAACTGGCGACCTTCTAGCTGCGAGGCGACGATGCTAACCACTGCAGCACCTTGCAGCCCAGACTTGAATGTTTGTTTAAGATTCCCGATCGTCATCGTTCAACAATTTCCAGGTTTCTAAACATATGAAAGTCTCTATGTTGGTCTGAAACACTGGAATCTGAACTGACCCAGATGTTGCTGGTGTATGAAACCGGACCTCAACAGCAACAACGTGAGAAACGACTCGTTGGTTTACACAGATAACTCGGCAACAGAGAACCGAACTCATTACATACAAAATGAACCTAAAGACGTTCTTTAACTGATTCATGATAACAGATGAGGAATAAATGCACCTTTTTCAGGCTTAACAGAGTCTCATTGACAGATATCTGGGTTCTGGTTCTGGTCTGACAGCAGCTTCCATCAGAGATAAACCCGAAGCAGCAGCACGTCTGTCCGGCTAAACCGATTATTTGTTAGTAGCTGCCGGTGGCGTTTGACTTTCTCTCTGACTGACTGACTGACTGAGGTGTGATTTGATTTAATTACATCCACAGAAATACTGTTTTAGTGACTTCACATGAGGAACATCAGAATCCGACTCTACAACACCACGTCCAGTCTTCTCTGTTGTTTTACACATTTTTTATTTTTTTTACAATCTAATCCTCACGAAGAGTAATTAGCATTAAAAAAGCTGATTAGCCTCCTTTTCTCCTCCTGATAATGACTTGAGCTCGTGTAAGCTCCTCTTACTTCCTTAAAAACCGTGCGGTCGCCGCCGATGCTGTTTTAAACTTAATCCACGCGCCTCGACTGATAAATCCAGAAGATCCGCGGCTAATCTCGCTCGACGCCCAGAGGAGAGTTCCCCCTCTGATACGACCACGGACCGACCTTTCACCAGCAAGCATCATCTGGAGAAACCCAAAAAATCTGACACCAAAAGTGGGTTTTTGATTTCCACGTGTTTAGAGACGTCGAGGCCTCGCTGAGGAGTCAGCAGAAGAAGAAACCCACGATGGTGGCCTCGTTCTGGGCCTCGTTCTGAGCCTCCCGTTGCTCATTTGGCTTTTTTTGTGTGTCTGTAGGAAGCCAAACTCCACCGCCTGCACGCTCATGTATGAAACATGCTTTCATAAATGTGTAATGCATGTTTACTTCAAGGAATAGAATCATATTTATATACACGCAGCTGAGGAAGCCGGAGCAGAACATCAGGATGCTGCTCGAGTTCTGAGCCGGAAAAACCGGCATTAAGAGTTAAAACTGGAGCCGCCACCGACATGTTGGTGTTTAATCCAGCAGAGTTCATTTAAACGTTTGGGTTCTGGGCTTTAAAGGCCGATCAGAACCAAATAAGGAACTCATCAGACCAGAAAACCGACAGATAAAGATTCCAGAACCAAAACCTGAGCCGGACTCCACATGTTCTACGAATCAAAACTACGAACGGTTGAGTTTTCTTGAGCTAACGT